GTGAAAAATCACCCCCCCCCAAGGAGGATGGCCATGCCACAATCCCTTCTCTTGCATTCTCCTTCCAGGATCTTAGGCATGTGCGCATGTGTGTGTGCACACACACACACAGCATGATTTTTAAGCCACCAGGTGTGGGACTTGAACCACGATCAGCCATGTGGGAGTACAACAGCGTAACGCCCTGGTTAGGACGTTTTAAATTTAATGTTAGTCTAATTCAGAAACAACTTATAAAATCTACAAGCAAGGTGTGACTAAGGGAGATACAGCATCTTAGAAGGTGTCCCAACTTTGACTCTTAGAGTTACCCGCTCCTTGAGATCATGCATTTAATTGGCAGTTTGATTGGAACCAGCAGTTAGCATAATAATGGCTATGTCACTGGACTCCCATGTAGTCGACCGCGGTTCGAGTCCTGGACCCGGTGACTTAAACTCACACCAGGCGTGTGTGCATGTGTGCCCAAATCCTGAGAGGAGAATGGAGGAGAAGGGATTGTGGCGTGGCCATCCCCCTGGAGAATGATTTCTCCCTTTCTGTCTCTCTTTCTGGTGAATGCATGTGCCCTATAGCAAAAACTTCTCCCAAAAAAAAAAGAAAGGAAGGAAGAAAGAAAAGAAACAAAGAAAAGCATCCACTGGGTTCTGCTCTTCAGCTCTCTGTGACTCAGTGCTTCTGTGCAGGGCGGAGCAGATGGCGGACAGGGCAGAGGATGGCTTTACTTAATGAAGAGGGAGTGTGAGCCCCTAAAATCCAGATTAACGAGAATTTTGAAGCTAGAACGTTATGCCCTTGTGAATTTTTTAAAGCATTTATTCTTTCTGTCCGAGACAGAGGCAGAGAGAAAGACAGAGACGTTCAGGAGCACTTCACGGGTTTTATCCCTTGACCCTCCCTCAGCCCGCCAGCGTCATGGGCACACACACGTGCCTGGCATGAACAGCTTGACGTGGGCCCGGACCCCCGTGTTCCATATGGATCCGGTATCATGGAGCCACGTGCTACCTCTAATCCACCGCTGGGCCTCGTTTTGTGAATTTCACTCTGAACACACATCCTTCAGGAAAAGTAATATTTTTCACTAATCCAGGTCATTTGTTTTTTAAGAGAAATATTTTTGCTATAGGGTAGGTACATTCGCCCGAGAGACAAACAGAAACTGAGAAATCACTCCCCAGGGGAGATAGCCATGCCGCAATCCCTTCTCCTCCATTCTCCTCTCAGGATCTTGGGCACGCACGCACAAGGGTCCGGGACTTGAACCACGGTCGACTACATGGGAATCCAGCAATGTAACCATTACAAATCTGCTGGTCCCCCAGGTCATCTTTAAAATATCCAACGTGAAAGTAGAAGTGGAAACCCTCTTAGAACTCCAGTACTGAACATTACAAACCTACACGCGACCCAGTCTGCCCTGCTTCCCTCCTGTCTCCGTAAAGAACTGTCCCTCCTCGAGAAAGACAAAGCCTGCTCTGTCCCTGGGGTCCCAGCCCCTTTGGACTTCTTCTTCCTTATATGCTCAACTTCTCTCCAGCCCCACCTCTATCATCACTTAGTCTGGATTCTTTTCTTAAATATGCTCAGTGTTCTCCCATTTAAAAAGAAACCTCATCAGAGCCTCCTTCACCTCCAACTCCCTCATCCCCTTCAAGCCAGGCTTCGTGGAAGAAGAGTCCTCCATATCTGTCGAGCCTCTTCCCCCACCTCTATCCTCAACCCTGTCTGATGTGGTTGTATTCCCCCTCCCCCTCTAAGGGAGCTCTGAGCCAGGTCAGTGATCACGTCTGTGGTGCTCAAACTCCTCGGGTGTGTCCTCAGGCCTCTCTGACCTTAACAGCTCTGTCAACCACATCCATCCTCTTGCTCCGCCCTCCTGATGTGTTCACTCCGCCTCCAAGAACAGCCCCTCCTCGGACTCCTTAGGCTGAACTGCAGATACTGAAATGCTGCACATTTCCCTCCTAAGCCCTCTCCTCTTGTCGTTCTCTCATTCTGTGCTCGCTGCTTCATGTGCCGCCTCTCTTGCGGACTAGTGACACACATTCTTGTCCTGTCTAGACCTGCCCTCTCCACCAAGCCAGCATGCGTCCTGCTGGGGATTGGCAGTCCATTCTGATGTCACCACACGGAATCAGCAGAGCCAAGTGCAAACTCATGGTTCCCTCACCTCCCTCCGAATACCCTGGTCCCCTTTTTTTCTTTTTTAAAGTATTATTTTATCTAACTTTTTAAAATATTTTTTACATTTTATTAAATTTCATTTTCTTTGATACATTCAATCACATTATTTATCTTACAAAGTGAATATTTCAACAGTTAAACATTTCTCCCCAGTTCAGTTAATAAAACTATAAAATATCTTCAACAGATCATACCACATTTCTTTGTCAGGTTAATGCTTTGCCTCCCTGTTTTTCTTCTAAATGTCCTTCCTCAGACCCTCCTCTTTCACACACACTATATCTGGTATTTACATCCATATACTGTGTTTCTATATCCTTTAGTCAATCAGTTTCAGTCATAGAGTGCAGACACTCGGTATATATTAAGTGGGGACATACAATGCCTCTCCTTCGTAGCATGGGCTTCCTTCACTCAGCAGTAAATCTTCCATATTCTTTCACTTTCTGTCAAAAGTCAAGGTTTTGTTGTTTTTTTATGGCTGAGTAGTATTCCATAGAGTATATGTGCCACAGTTTTTCTATCTATTCATCTGTTTGGGGGCATTTGGACTGGTTCCATGTCTTAGCAATTGTGAATAGTGCCCCAATAAACATCGATTGCAAGCACTTTTCCGATTAAGTATTCTTTTGTCCTTTGGGTAGATACCAAGGAGTGGGATGATCCCCTTTTGATATCTCTTCTCAGTAAGCAGCCCTACCATCCGTTCAGTTGTTCAAGTTGTGAAACTTGAGAGAGATCTTGTCTGCCTTCTTCTTTTCAGCTATTTGGGTGTGTTACCTGTCTACCGGGGTGTGAATGTGGCATTCCCTGGAATACTCGTGCTGTAATTTGATACCCCACTGGGCAGCGTTGGGAAGTGGGACCAAGTGACAGGTGTTTGGGACCTGGGGGTGGCTCCCTCCTGACTAGGTGAAAGCCTTCTCCGTGTGATAGGATGGGAGCGTTGTGCTGTGTTGTGTAAAACCCTCAGGTTTTTAGGTCCAGATCGCTAAGATTAGAAACACAAAATAAAAAAACCACGAACACTTGCAAAGTCAGAAAAGAAAAGTTTTAATAGAAAGTGAGGATTTTTCATAGAAAAGAGATATACCTGCACAGCAGAAAGGCACGCCAGGTGGACAGCCACCAGAGAAGGAAAACTGCCCTGGGCGTGGGTCAGGCATTGACTGTGAGAGTCGGTAATAAATATTTAGCAGGGGAAGGCCTGTCACAGTATCAGAGCTCTTTGTTTGGAATTTGTGGGCTTTTTCCTGTGCATTTCTCGGGTAAGGAATTCAATTACTTTAATCACGCATGCCCAGTGATGACCTAGAAGGTGTGAGCATCCATATATGGATGGACTGTCCAATTAGTTTACTGTCCCAGTGAGAATCAGGATGTTGACCTAGCCGCCCATCCTCAGGGTGAATTTCTGTGTGTGTATTTGGGACAGCAGGAAGTAAAATAACCTTCCCAGTGCCGGGAGCTGGGTGGGAAGGAGGAGTTCTCAGAAGATCTGGTTGCAACTCCTGAGAAGTTGTGATTGATATGACAGATGTCCTTCTGCTGTTATCTTAGGGCTGCCCAGCTCATTTCTAGCTAACTGCCTATCACATCAGCTCTCCCTAATTAGTTCCCAGGAGAACGTGTTACAAAGGCAAGCTGGCTGCCTGCAGGTGTCTCAGCACATGCCGGCTGACCTTGACACTTCGGATAACTTTCCAGCTTCCAGATCCGTGAACCAAATAAACCTCTGTTCTTTATAAATCGCTCAGTCCTGAGCATTTCTGTTAGAGCAACATTAAGGGACAGATGGACACTGTGGTCCGTCAGCCTGACTGTCTAAGAACTTGCACTTCAATCACTGCAGCATAATCCACACTACAGCCGTCTTCCACCAGGTTGCAGTAACCTTCTAAGATTTACACTCAAATTGCCCCTCGCCTCCCCAGTCCGTTCTCTGTACAACACCAATATGATCTTTTTCTGTTGTAAACCGGATAATGTTCATCCCCTCCTTCGCACACGCACCCTAAAACTTAAGCTCTTTGGTGACTTCACAATGCTCCTGGGGGGAGAAAGTCAAAGTCCCAAACACAGCCTACAAGACTCCCCTGGTCTGTCCTCTGCCCTGCTTCCTAGCATCCTCCTTCCTCAGGCTCTCCCTATGTGAGCAACAGGGCTTCTGCCATCATTCAGATCTGGGCACAACGTCACTTCTTCCAGGAAGCCTGTCCTGATCTCCTGATTTGGTCAGATCCCAGAGTCACTATACCAAGTAGCTCACCATGGGACTTGATCTGTTTCTGCTTGTGGCTGGGCAAACAAGTTGTCATGAAAATTACCGAATTTACATTTGAACATGGCTAGGTAGATAGCTCCCTTTAGTTTTTTAATTGTTTTATTTAATTTTATTTCTTTTCATTTGACCAGAGAGGGACAGAGTGAGAGAGAGGGAAAGCGAGAAAGCAAGCCACCAAGTCTGGGACTCGAACCACAGTCAGCCATGTGGGAGTCCAGCGCCTGTAACCACCACACCACCTGCCAGCCCTGATAGCCCCCATTTTTAAGAGCAGGTCTTGACAGAAATGAAATCCCACAAGAAATATGGCATAATTCCAGGATGTGAGAGGAGAAAGGTCCAGGAAGTAGGCTCCAGACAGAACCACAGAGGTACTCTCTCTCCTTCATAGTCCTGCCTCCTGCCCGGCCCCACTGCTGTGCGATTCATCAATAATCTTTGCTAGATCCAGCTTTTATGGCCGCTCTGAGGTGCTGGGAGGATCCACAGTGCCTTCCGCATTGGTCGCGAAAGTCCAAGTCATGTCCAGTTTGCATGTTGTTTTGAGGATAGTTTATTAAACTCCAGCGCCTTCTAAATTGTTGATCTGATTTTCACACGAACTCATTTTGTTTTAGGTTTTTTGCTTATGCACATGCACTCACCTGAGAAACACAGAAAGACAGAGAGAGGGAAAGTGAGAAATCCCCCCCTTCACCCTGGGAGGGATGGCCATGCCACAATCCCTTCTTCTCCACCCTTTTCCTGGGATTGTGGGCACGTGTGCACACACGCCCAGCGTGATCTTCAAGCCTCTGGGTCTAAGACTCCAACTGAGGTCCACCTTGTAGGAATCCAGCCCCTTAACCACCACGCCACCTGCTGGTCCCCACCTGCACATTTTAGTCACTTATCCGTACTGCTAGGCTTTGTGGTCCTTAAGAACATGGGTAGCACTCAGCAGGCTCTTAGTCCATGTTGGGTAGATTGGGGGATGAAAGACCCAGGGAACCAAAGTCAGGATTTGTGGCCTCCACGAGCTCATCCAAGAGTCTCAGACTCAGACGCCTTTGGGACAAGAACGATAGGAAAGAAGGAGTGAGTTGACACGAGTTATCTGAGTGAGCACGGGGGACTGGGCTCAGTGGACCGCGCACACCCCATCTGAAGGCAGTCCACCTCAAAGAAAGGGCGCCTCTGAGCATGCCTGAGAGAGCTGGTAGAATCCAGCCCAGCTCCTCAGACAGCACTTGGCATTTTGTCTACTAAAGTCTTGGTTGTGGCAGACAGATGTCCACGTCCGAATCCCCACATCCGCACATCTATGAAGATGTAACCAATATGTCACTTGGCCAGAGGACGTTGGAGCTGTGGTATGGATTTGGAGGTAGAGATTACATGAATTAGCCTAGATACAGTGCTTAGAACTGTTGTGTATATTATGGGCATTAAATCAATATTAGCTAATTAAATGATTATTATTTACAGAGAAAAAAACTATAAGCCTTACAAAGTTCAATACCTTGTCTAAGACAAGGATGTTCAGAACAGAGGCAGGACCAGAACCCAGATCCCCTGTGGCCTGAGCTGCCTACTGAGTCGTTACAATGCCCTGTATCGTTTTCCTACCAAATCTAATTTTCGAAGTCAACACAGTGAGTCATAGCAGTGCCCTGCCGGAGGGCACAGCCACGTTGTATAACTGTGATTGGCCTTGTTGTGACTGACCCTTTCAAGGGAAATGAGGCATAAATCCAGGGCTTGCTTTGACACCAGATGTGTTTGACTGCAAACTGCCAAGGAAATAAAAGAATATGCTCTGGTTATAGATCAGTTACTCACAGATATGCCCCCTTCAAACATGACCCATGAGAAAAAGAAAAAGGCCAGCACAGAATCAGGCAATATGTTTAGTCTTGGAATCCATGGGTCCCTGGGCAAAAAACAGTGAATGGTGGCCAGCAGGTGGCATGGTGGTTAAGGCACTGGACTCCCACATGGCCGATCATGGTTTGAGTCCCAGACCTGATGGCTTGAAAATCACACTAGGCATGTGTGCACACATGCCCAAAATCCCAAGAGGCGAATGGAGGAGAGGTGACTGTGGCTGTCACCCCAGGGAATGATTTCTCACTTTCCCTCTATCTCTCTTGCCAAAGGCATGTGCCCTATGGCAAAAAAAAAAAAAAAAAAAAAAAAAAAACATAAAACAAAACCAGTGAAAGAGCTTTCTGTGGACACTTAGCATCAGACTCCAAGGTGTTGGCCTGCCCTCCGAGATGCAAGCTGCACTGGTTGGAGGGATCTGTTCACAGTAGATGCCTCCAGAGCTCCAGCTTGATCGAAAGCCTGGGTATTACAAAACTATCCCATAAAAGTGGCCGTGCATTCCTTTTTTTCTGTTATTTTTTCAAAGAATTTTTTATTTTAATATTTTTATTTTACTATAGGGCATATGTGCTTACCAGAGAGAGATGGAGAGAGACAGAGGGAAAGTAAGAAAGCAAGCTGCCACGTCACAACTTGAACCACAGTCAGCCCTGTAGGAGTCCAGCACCTTAACCACCACGCCACCTGCTGGCCCCCGTGCTTCCTTTTAAAACACATATGAAGGGTCTTCAAGAAGTTCGTGGAAAACATGTATTATGAAAAAACTATGCATGGGTAGGGACCAGCAGTTGGCATAATGGCTATGCCGCTGAGCTCCCCATATAGTCTACCACAGTTCGAGTCCCGGGCCCGGTGGCTTAAACTCATGCCAGGTGCGTGTGCATGTATGCCTAGGGTCCTACGAGGAGAATGGAAGAGAAGGGATTGCAGTGTGGCCATCAGCATGTGTGTGTGTGGTGGGGGGGGGGCGATTTCTTGCTTTCTGGCTCTCTGGGGGACACAGCGCCCCATTGCAAAAAAAAAAAAGAAAGAAAACTATGTTTAGGCATCATAAAAGTTCTGCACCAGGGCCAATGGGTAGTGCAATGGTTAAGAGGGTAGACTTTCACACAGCCAACCACAGTTCAAATCCCGGATCTGGCAACTTGAAAATCACATCAGGTATGCGTTTGTACTCTAAATCCGGAGTAGAGTGTAGGAAAAGGGACAGCAGGGTGGCCTTCCCTCTCTCTGTCTTTCTCTGGCCAGCCAGCACATGGCAACAACCTAAAAAAAAAACAAAACAGAAAAATGTTCTGCACCAATAGAAACTCGTAATTCCATTCTTTCAAGAACTGTTTGAACTGAAAGGTAAGAAAGAGCTTCTAAAAAGATCATTCAGAGTGGAGCCAGGAAGCCTCACCCAGACCCGTGACACCAGCCTGCTCGGGGTGCAACCTCCCGTGTCCTCCTGCAGTGCGAGGCTGCTATTAATATTTTAGAAAGGACTTAAAACTACCGAGTCCAAATTTAGACCGTCCAGTATATGAATTTCTAAATACCCAGCTGCCCTTGTCAGTGGGGATGCCGAACATCTGAGACTGCCAAGGAAACCCAAAGTCTGTTTCCATTCTCACAGTTGGCAGCCCACTTCTGGGCCCAGGGGTGTGGAGGGTTTCCCGCCTCCGAGTTGTTCACCAGCGGACGGAATCATTCTGTTCCATTCTGACTCTCTTCCTGGGTAGTGTAGGTCCTACAGGGTAAGGGCACAGTCTCACAAGACTGCCTGTCACTTCAGACCCCCGTCCCAGGTTGTTGCAGGTCACTGTCACCTGTACTTCTGACTAGCTGGCTATAAACTGGGGTTCCTGGGACCCCTTCCTTGGTTCAGTTAATGTGGTGGGCTGGCTCACAGGTCCTTAGGAAGCATTCCTACGTTTGCCAGTTGAGTGTAAAGATGTTATAAAGGCTACAGATGACATGTGGGCTAGCACAAGGTATTAGGGACAGGGTGTCCGTGTCCCTCCTGGGCACCACCCTGCCCGCACCTTCTGGAGACATATCAGCAGCCGGGACGCTTTCAGTGTTCAACCTTCAGCCCCCTCACCCCGCCAGCTCTCCCATCACCGAACTAACCCTAGACCTCCGTGTGTCGCAAGCCAGGCTGTGGATCGGGTGTGACTGAGGGACATCCAGCTGCATTGCCTTGCAGGAAGTGAGGAGGGTGGGGAGCTAACGCCAGAACCCAGCTCCCCAGGGGAGTTCTAAGCACACATTTTTAAGAACAGAAATAGGGGTAAGGGTCTGGGCACGTGATCAGCTCCATGGTGGGTCCAAGAGGTCATGATGGTCTTGATTGGTGGGCCCTTTAACTAATCAGTTTCTTCCTTCCTTCCTTTCTTTCTTTCTTTTTTAAGAGAAATTTTTGCTATAGGACCCATGCACTCTCCAGAGAGACAGAGACAGAAACAGACAGAAAGCAAGAAATGACCCTCTCAGGGGGAATGGCCACACCACAGTCCCTTCTCCATACTCCTTTTGGGATCTTGGGCAGGCACACACACACACACACACGAGCCCAGTATGAGTTTTAAGCTGCCAGGTCCAGGACTCAAACAGCCATTGACTATGTGGGAGTCCAGTCATGCAACCGTTACACTATCTGCTCATCCCTAGGTAATCCATTTCCTGTGGGTCTCACATCCTGTGAAATACCAGTTCCTCTGGACATGAGTTAGGCATAACCAGAGTCCGGAGCTCGAACCTTCCTTCAGGCCTTTAAAGTTGAAATGGACCTTGCATTCCAAGCAGCTTAGAAGGATGTTGTCCTCACGGTCTGGCTCTTACTGCGTTTCCGTTTGGGTCGTTTCCATTTCTTTCTCCTCAGCAGAACAGGGAAACTAAGACCCACGTCCTTTTAGAAGGTCCCCTTCTGGCTTCACTCCCCTTTCCAACTTGAAGGTTCCAGCCTTTTATTTTTTTTAAGAATTATTTTATTTTGGGGACCAGTAGTTAGCGTAATGGCTATGTTGCTGGCTCCCATGTAGTCAACCGTGGTTTGAGTCCTGGACCCAATGACTTACACTCATGCCGGGCGCGTGTGTGTGCGTGCCCAAGATCCCGAGAGGAGAATGGAGGAGAAGGGATTGTGGCATGGCCATTCCCCCGGGGGGTGATTTCTCGCTTTCTGTCTCTCTGTCTCTTTCTTTCTGGTGAGTGCATGTGCCCTAAAGCAAAAACCTCTCAAAAAATTGTTTTTAATTGAAAAATAAAATAAGCGTTTTATTTAAATTTATTTATGTATGTATTTATTTATATTACTTTGACTAGAGAGAGTGAGAGAGAGAGAGAAAGCAAGCTGCCAGGTCCAGGACTCAAACTCTGGTTAGCCATGTGGGAGTCCAGCACCTTTAACCACCATGCCACCTGCCAGCCACTACCTCCTAATCACTGGTCTTTGAGATGACCCATTCATCATGTCCACCCCACCCTAAGTCACATCATTAGCATATTCCCACAGGGGATCAAAAAGGGCTTATTATGAATGACAAAAGACACTTCTGTCACTCAAGAAATACCAAGCCTTTTAGGTAGGTCCTCTGTGTTGAGAAAGAGATTGGGATTTGGGGGTGTGGGGAGACCAAATATACCACCAGGCTATGTACATGAACCGTGTATGAAATATAAATGAATATTCGGGGCTTGGTAGTTAAAGGCACTGGACTCCCACGTGGTCAACCATGACTCAAACCCTGGACGTCTGGTGGCTTACTTTCTCACTTGTCCTCTCTCTCTCACTGTCTGATCAAACTGGAAAAGAAAAATAATAATAAATAAAGTTAAATGATTTTTTTAAAAAACCAACAGAAAAAAAGAAATATAAATGAATTTTGGATTTTGACTTGGGTCCCATCCTCAAGAGATCTCATTGTGGATATGCAAACATTCCAAAATCCAAAACATTTCTAGTCCCAAGCATTTTGGATAAAGGATACTCCATCTGTATAGACACTAGTTGCTGATGTCTGGGGCAGGACGGAGACTTGGACATCTAGGGGAATTCTCCTGCCTACCACACCCTGCAGGGCTCAGCGGGGGACTGTCCTTCTGTGGACAGAGGTCTGACTACTGTTTCCTTTTTTCCAAAATCTTTTCAAAGGGGACTGGGGAAGTCATGCCCACAGACATTAACAGACCATTTACTTTCTATTAACAGAATTCTTCCTACCTCCTGTCCCTGGCATAACATCTTTGAGATGTATATTTCAACCAATTACTGTGTATGCTTTTGCTTATCTCTTCCCAAGATACAGAACTTCCCTTTTCCTTGAGATGTAGATTAAGCCTTTCTTTAACTAATCTCTTCCCAAGACACAGATCTTCCCTTCCAATCACCGACCTAAGAATTTGTGGAACCCACCTATAACCTACAAGCCCCCCCCCCTTTTACAAGTCCCACCTTTTTGGGCCAGACCAATGGAAAATCTTTTCACTAAGTATTGTCTGTCAATCTCAAAAACAAATAAAAGGAACCTCTGTACATGATCACCCCGAGAAAAGGCATGTGTGCCTCTTCTCCGGGCCTAGGTCACTCACAGTTGGCTTGGAAATAAATTGCATTAATTATTAATTATTAATTTTACAGTTGGTTATTTTTTCCGTCGACACTTCCACAGTTTCTCATCTTTTTTTTTTGAGAGGTCGTTGGGCATGTGTGCTCCCAGAAAGATAGAGACAGAGAGACAGAAAGCAAGAAATCCCGCCCCCCCACGGGGGATGGCCACGCCACAATCCTTCTCCTCCATTCTTCTCTCGGGATCTTGGTCATGTGTGCCCAGCCTGAGTTTAAGCCACCGGGTCCGGGACTCGAGCCACAATCAACTACATGAGAGTCCAGCAACATAGCCATTATGCCAACTGCTGGTCCCAGCTACAGTTTCTCATCTTACACACACCTTTTTCCAGTGAGTAAAGCAGAATGTTGAGTAATTGCAGGGTGGTTCAGTAATTGCGAAGAACTTCAAAAATACAAATGCCTCTGTCTTGCGCTGAGGCCTCCTCTAGGAGGGAATGGCAAAGGGTGTATGGAAAAATACAGTCGAGGTATGAGTTGATTTCGGTGCCCAAAGCGTTTGAAATCCATGCATAGTGTTTCATTAGATGCACTTTTTGTGACCATTCCTGGAACTTCCTGCAGACCCACGGGTACGTGGTCCTCCTAGGGGAACCATCCCATTCAGTGGCTGTGTCAGTCACTACCTGCCACCTACTCTCTGTCCCCTCCCCTCTGCATTGCAATGGGAGAAGCCCAGACCCCGCCATGAGGTTCTCCTTGCTAAGGCTAAATGATGTGGCAGCCAGAGGAGCGTCATTCTGTCCCTGTCCACTTGTTATCCCGTGTCTAATGAGGCTCTGGTGCTGGTGGGTGGGGACGAGAAGAAGGGAAGCTATTGTTCTTTTGCAGACCAGACAGGCTCTCCCGCATCTCCCTGGGGCCATCGGTCTCTTTTTCCCCCTGCACTGGGTCTGCATAAACAGAGCAAGAAGCAAAGCCTAGCCTAGAGGGAGGGGAGAGAGAGACAAGAGGCCACGGTCTTGAAGTTGGGAGGCCACAAGGAAAGAAAGGGACTTCTGTGACGGGAACAGCCGGTCTGAGTCTCAGTGCACTGCCCCGGGAGCCCCGGAGGAGGGGAGGAGGGAGGAGGGCACAGGGTCAGCCCGTATGACGTGACCCACGGTGGCTTTCCTGGGGTTGAAATTGAGGAACTGAGGCGGCGTCAGTGACGAGAGTCAGTCTCTCAGAACACAGGATGGGACGAGAACTCCAGCCGCTGGCCGGGTCTCATGTGTCTGCAAGGGCCACGGAGCTTAATGACCCAAGGAGGCTATGATATGGTTCAAAAACTGTTCCTGGATTTTTTCCGTAGGCGGCTGAGCCAGAGGCCGACTGCAGAGGAATTGGAGCAGAGGAACATTTTGAAACGTAAGTGACTGAACCCCTTGCGGTGCTGATGTTTGCTGGTGGCTTTGGTTGTTATTTAACTGTAGGACCCAGAGCTTCTACCTGGGGCCCAGGAGACAGAGTCTCTGACCTGGCTGACCATCATCTTTGCAAAGTTAATGCCATTCTGTTCCTTCGCTCGGGGACTACGAGGAGAACCTTGCTTTTACAAAGTTGCCAAGTCAGGGAGAAACTGAAAAGTGGGAGAGAACTTATTATTGAATGGCCTTGCAGTGAGGATCCCTTGAAACCAAAATAGGCTTAAAAATGGCAAATTTGGGGGCCAGCAGATGGTGTGGTGTTTGGGGCACTGGAGTCCCACATGGCTGACTGCAGTTCAGGTCCCAGACTTGGTGGCTCTCTCCCTCTCTCACTCTCTCTCTGTCGAGTGTGTGTGCCTTATAGCAAATATAAAAAATAAGAATAATAAATAAAACTGGATAGATGATTCTTTGGGGAAAAATGGCAAATTTGATATTGGTAGCCAAAATAAGGGGAAGGGCTATTTGAAAACAGGGACTAGAAAATAGGAATTTCTGTTGGCTGCTGTGGGTCCATTCCTCATCCCTCTGGGCAGAGCCTGAGAAAGCATTTCCAGTGACAATGCCCGGCCCCCTCCTCCAGGATGCCCACATCTTGCCAGCCATGGGCCCGCCTAAAACTAGTGGTCACTGATGGCCGTGGATGGAAAAAGTGAATGGACCTTGGTTTGGTTCAGGACACAGAGATGTTTGAATGTATGTAGAGGATCCACCTGGTGCAAAAATAAAATAAAATAAAATAAAATTAAATTAAATCAAATTAAAATGGAAGGAAGGAAGGCAGGAGAGAGAGGGGGAAAGAAAATGATGCAACATCTGAAAAGAAAGCAATTCTCGGGACCAGCAGTTAGTGTAATGGCTATGTCGCTGGACTCCCACGTAGTCGACCACAGTTCAAGTCCCGGACCCAGTGGCTTAAACTCACACTGGGCGCGTGTGTGTGCGTGCCCAAGATCCTGAGAGGAGAATGGAGGAGAAGGGATTGCGGCATGGCCATCCCCCCTGGGGGGTGATTTCTCGGTTTCTATCTCTCTGTTTCTGGCTGGCAAGCGCACGCGCCCTATAGCAAAAACCTCTCCAGAAAAAAAGAAAAAAAAAAAGAAAGAAAGCAATTCTCTAACCTCTCTCAGGAAAGAGAAATACATACCCTGCAGAATTGTGTAGAAATGCTGCTTTGTGTACCCATGAGGTCTTCAAAAACTTGATGGGAAATGCATATGATGAAGAAGCCCTGCGTAGATGCCCATATTTTGGCGCTCAAACAAGCTTCTGCTTGAACTGCGTATCTTCCACGAACTTTCTGACGTCCCGCGGTTAGACACGCACTCACCCAGTCTATCACGTGGGACCATGGTTTGGTGGCTGGGTCTTTCCACTTCAACCAGACTAAGAGGTTCTTCATTTTACTTGCCGACCCATCCTTTTTTGTGGTCCCATGATGTATCCAGAGTAAACGGGGACAGAGGGCGGGTGCTGGATAGGAAAAGAACCTGCCTCTGCTTTGGGTGGCCTCAACCCACATCCCGCCCCCCTCTCCATGCCGACGGCCACTTCCCCACTCTCCGTGGAAGCTCTTTTTAGGATTGACCTTCCTTGCTCTTAAAGCTGCTCCAGATATGTCTGTGGGGTCTCTAGGACTAGAGACCTCTCTCTAAGAAGGCATGCCCCCCTAAGCGTGTCTAAGCTCCGTGTCCTCTAACACAGAACCAGAACTTTTTCCGTTGATTGCCACGGTCAGGGAAGCATTTGCCAGTACGCCGCCTCCTTTTCTGCCCCAACCTGCTCCCGGATCCAGCAAGCACTTTCCATTGAGAGAAAAACAGAAAGGTGGACGTTATTCCCAAACTCAGCTTCCGTCTCACTCCTCCCTCTCCCTTGACGCCTAAACTCAAGCTAAAACCACCTCTGGGAGTCCGTTCAGGTTTCACAAAATAGTGCTTATCTCAGCAAGAGCCAGATTTCTGGAAAGAGATCTAAAGTCTCCCAGCTCACCTCAAGCCTTCCAAAGGCACCAGGTCCCACGTCTGGCTCGCCCAGATCCCTGGGAGACCACAGGAAGGGCCCTTGTGGTTGGGCTTTTACTGCCATCTGCTTGCGTCTTGTAAGCCCAGGGAGTGCTTAGATGCAGGAGAGCAGTGGGGATTTTAAAGCTTGTTTCCCTGGTACTTTTTAAATTCTTTCTTTCTTCTGGTCCTGGTGAAAGAGCTGCAAATGAAAGAACCCGCTTGACCAACCTCAAAACAGGTTGATCCTTTCTCTGCTTGAAAACTTTTCAGAAATGAATTTTTCTCATAGGTTCTTATTTTTCCCTGCATTCTATAACTTCGTTCCTGCTAAATATGTTTTCTTTAAAAAAAAAAATCTGTTTTGATCGTTCAACCAGAACTGTCTGGTGTGGATGAAAATGTCCTCAGACAATGTGTTCTAACCCTCATTTCCTGGACTCTAAGTCATTTGAGGAACTCCTGCGTGCAGGGGTGGGGACAGCAGCAACAGAGACGTCAAGTCACAGCTGGGCGTGTCTGAGCTGGTTTCTAACCGCACCCTGCCTGGTCCTGTGGCCAGCCAATGAGACCTTGTGCCCATCTGAGCACACAATGACAGCACTCTGATGGTGGCACCTGCAGCGGTGACGTCACGGGCCTCTCCTGGCCTCTCTCCTTAGCTCACTAATGGGGTTGTCTTGGTACCCTCTGCCTGAGAATTCATAACACAGGGTTTGTAAATGGCCTGGGACTAAAGGTATAGATGCCACAGGAGGTGTGTGGCCCCCACACCCCAGAGGAACCTCAGAGAAGCACCTAGGGGATAAGGGTCCAGGCTCCGTTAGCTGTCACACAGCACTGGCCTTCACAGCTTGGAAGGAGCCCCCAGGGTCAGAAGGCTGACGCCAGTCACCAGTCCTAGAAGGGCTTACCCCAAGCAAAATGTGACCACTGGGAAGGGGAGTGAAAGCTGGAGTTGGTTTCTGAGAGCCACACTGAGTGTGACTGGGTGTGACTGGTCACTTAGCGCCCCTCGGTGTCCCTACCTCCCTTTGTAAACTGAGGCTGGAGGTCCGGGGGTCTGTAGAGCTCCTCGTTGCCCCAATAGACATGATTCTGTAAATTTGAAGCAAGTGTCCTCCAGGAGGAATTTGCATTTGTAAAGAACGAGGGAGATAATCTTTAAATCCAGGGGAAGAAGCTCTCACAGTAGAGGTCTCAGGGACCATGGAGCAGGCAGGAGCAGGGACCTCTGGTGACCCCTTGGGGTAGCAGGAAGCCTGCCCTGTACAGGCCCCGCCCACAGGCAGCCAGAGTGGCCGTATAGTGCTCCGGGGTTGTTGCCCAAGGGCCCAGGGTCTGCTCTAAGCTCCCATTTGTTCTACCAGGAGGGTTTGTCACCTTCAGGGAGTTGGTGAGGAAAAAAGGGTGGGACAGTTTGTCAGATAGTCCCCAGCCTCCTTCTATACACAGGGGTCTCTATCTCTATCTCTCTCCTTCTCGTTAACTTGCCAGAGAGTACATGTGCTCACGGGAGACACAGAGAGAGAGAAAAATGAGAAAATGTCCTCCATGGGCCATTGTCACACCACAGTCCCTTCTCCGCGTCTCCCTCCTTTTGGGACGTTGGGCACACATGCACACATGCACTCAGTAGGTCTCTCAAGCCTCCAGGTCTAGGACTCGACCATACAGTTGGCCATGGAGGATTCAGCTCTCCCATGCAATGCCCCGGGGTCTCTTTCTTTTAAAGACCTTTCCCACTACTGAGACAACCAGGGGCCTCAGCTAAACGGCAGTGTGCCCAATACAACAAACCAGTGATGTGATATGGAAATGTAATTTATCAGCTGTGATTTCAAAACGAGAGAGCGAGTAGCCTGGGTGGTCCCACTGTGCCCGCGCCAACCTCACCTTGTGTTTCCTTTCGCTGATGCTGCTGAGTCGCAGTGGCTGAGAGACACAGGCCATTCTCTGTGCCCACACGGGGACCAGGAACCCTTCCTAGGCCCAGAAGAGAAATGATCTTCCCAAGGCCATTCAGTTCGCGTAAAAGGAGAAATCAGCCCAGATTTGCCGCCCTCCCAATCTCTGCTCCCTTCCCCAGACCTCTTTAAAGCCCGATGAGTGATCCCCACATAGTAAGCAGAGACGTGTAGGCTCTGAAGTCCGCTCCCAAGGCACTCCTTAAAGGACTGTATGCAGGCGCTCCTGGCCCACACCGCGGCCGCCCCCATGCTCTCTGGACTCCTTGGAAGATTCAAAGACTTCATGGAATCAGGGCTTGCGAAAGGTGAGCTCGCTGAAATTCCTCTCGCTGCTGTGGCTGGCCTCGCAGTGGGCGTTGGGTTTTGTTTCTGCAGCAGTTCGAGGCTGGTCTGCGGTTCACCGACACGAGGCCATGTCACGATGAGCCAGCCCCCTGCAGTGTCTGCGAGGCTCATGGGGTGTCTTGTCCAAAGATGGAGGGAGCCTCCCTTCTCCCCAAATGCCCCGTCTCAACCAACAACGCTCCCAATCATTTAAAACCAACCTCCTTTGCTCTCAGCTCTGTTCTCCACTGAGCGCTCTGCCTGGAGACTTGAACCCCCATGAGACATAGAGAAAACAAAATGCAAAGGTCACGCTTCTTGCCACCAATTTGATTGTTGTTTGGTTTTTGTTTGTTGTTTTTTTGGATTCTTTTTTTTGTTTGAGAATGTGTGTGCTTGCTGGAGAGACAGAGAGATAGAAGGCAAGAAATCTCCCCCCCCCCAAGTTGTGGCCACACCACAACTCCTCCTCTCGGGATCTTGAGCACTCACGCCTACATAACCAGAGTGAGTTTTAAGCCGTCAGGTCCAGGACTCAAACTACAATCGACCACATGAGAGTCCAGTGATGTAACCATTACACCATCTGCTGGTCCCTCGCTACCAATCTGAAACAGCTGATGTGGAAAGTAGCCCATAGGCAGAGGTGGTGGGGAGGGGACAGGAGCCTCTTCCCCTTTGCAAATCGTGAGGTGCTTGGCCCAGAGCCTGCCGAGGTTCAGAGGGCACCCTTGTGTGTGACACCACGGGCCCAAGTCAAAAACATCTGAAATATTTCTTCCAGCTCGGAATGAACAAGAGGAACAAGAGGAGAAGAGAGAGATCAAGAGGAGGCTGACTCGAAAGGTGAGGTGGCTTTGGCGCTGGGAAGGGGGACAGGACAAGGTGGGCCGGCACGGGTGCCTCACAGCGCCAGCGTGTGACTTCCTTCCTCCCTCAGGTGTCACGAAGCCCAGCTCTGCCCTCTGCAGGCCCACTCAGGTGGACCGTCAGCCTCAGGCCTCCTGCCCTTCTGCCTAGTGACATTCAGGGTTGATTTTGTGACACCCCCTACCCCCGGACAGCTTGATGTCCATCACATGCATTTTCAGTTACACTCGATGTTTTCTTTTGTGTTTATTTCTTCCTTCTGTGAGCGAGAGAGGCAGAGAGAGACAGCCTTCGAGCAGGGTCCTGACGCCATGACCCAGCCCAGCCCATCCTGGGTCACGTGCAGGCGTGAACCTGGCGTTCTCAGAGAGGTCTGCAGGGGCAAACCCAGAACCTTCTGGCATGGCCCACCCTGCAGAGCATCTCACTTTACCACTACACTGCTGCACGGCCCCATGCTTCTTTTATTTTATTTTATTTTAATTTATTATAAACTGAGCCCGGCTCTAATCCCAGCTCCCGGGGTGGCTAAGCCAGGACAGAAAGTTTGAGGCCAACCTCTGATAATCTAGCAAGACTCAGTCTCTAAAATTAATAATAAAATAAAATTCACTATAACCCCATAAGGTCATCAGAAAAATACATGATCAAAACCAGTCATTTATGTAATATTTTTATTAAAAAAAATACAAAATGGAAAATGATTGGTTGATGATAACATGTGTGGTAATATTGTTATTAAAAAAAGAAATACAAAAATGGAAAATGATTGGTTGATGATAACATATATAATATTTTTATTAAAAAAAAGAAATATAAAATGCAAAAACAGTCATTTACATGACCCTGGGAAAGTATGGATTTTCTTTGCTTGCTCCGATGCCTTCTTTTCCTGGTAATTAAGAACGATTTGGCGAGGCCAGCAGATGGCATAGTGGTTAATGTGCTGGACTCCCACATAGCTGACAGGGGTTTAATTCCCAGATCTGGCAGCTTAAAAATCATGTTGGGCACGTGTGCTCGATGTCCAGAGGAGAATGAGGAAAGGGGATTCCAGTGTGGCCATCCCGCTAAGGGGTAATATCTC